AAGAGAGAGAGAGAGAGGCAGGGGGTATAGAGCCCCAAGTCACACTCTCTCAGCCTCATTCTCTCCCAACTCTAGGGTTCTGTTCTGTGACTCTATGAAAGCCAGCATGGCGTAGTGACTTGAGTGTTGGATTGTGACTCTGGAGACCAGGGTTTGATTCCCAGCTTGGCCATTGGAAACCCACTGGGTGACCTTGGGCAAGTCACACTCTCTCAGCCTCAGAGGGAGGCAAGGGCCAACCTCCTCAGAACAAATCATGCCAAGAAAACCCCAGGATAGGTTGGTTTTAGGGTCGCCATAAGTCGGAAGCAATCCTCTGCCATTTGCTTGGAGAATAAATTCCTCCTTTGCGTCCGTGAAACAGCCTCAATTTTTAGTTTGCTTTTCCGTTTCGGAAGGATTTATCCTTCTATCCAGTTTATAGAGATTTTTTAATACAGCCCTCCAGTCTTATTCCCGCGGCAGTCTTTCAAGACAACCATTTTTTTTAGTAACTGCAGGTATTGATAAAACATGAAAACTAACAAGGTGGTGAGATCTAGCAGCAGTACATATTTCTTTCTGTCTTTCTTTTTAGAAAGCCAAAGGCTTTCCGGACGCTGTCACCGGCATCAGACTATTTATTTGTTAATTGCAATATTTATTTCTGATTCTGATGGGGACCAGCGTGGCGTCGTGGTTTGCGTGTCGGACTACGACTCTGGAGACCTGGGTTCGAATCCCGACTCGGCCATGGAAACCCACTGGGTGTCCTTGGGTGAGTCACACTCTCTCAGCCTCAGAGGATAGCCCTGGCAAACCAATCTACCCCATGATAGGTTCGCTGCGAGTCGGAAACGACTTGAAGGCAACCAACGTATACGCGCAACATATTCAAAGGTGATAGGGGCAGTATACGATAAAATCAACTTGAACAATTTAAAACAATAGGGAAATAAGAAATAAAAATGCTCTCCTCTCCCTCAGAAGCCACAGCAATGGCACTGGGAACAGTATAAAATAATATAATGTAATATAATACAATACAGTCGGAGATTCGCAAATATTCAAGCCCCATAGATTTTAATGGAGGTCACCCCTTTGTGAATATGCAAAACTGCAGACTTCAAGTCCATGAGAATGGAGGGGCGACTGTAATAATATAATATAATATAATATAATATAATATAATATAATATAATATAATACAGTGGTCCCTTGGTATCTGCTGGGGTTTGGTTTCAGGATCTCCTGCGAATACTAAAATCTGTGGATGCTCAAGTCCCATTAAATACAATGGTGTCCCTTATATAAAATGGCAAAATCAATTTTTGCTTTTTGGAAATGATATATTTTAAAAATATTTTCAAGCTGTGGATGCTTGAATCAGTGGATAAAAAGAAATAAATCTGTGGATATGGAGGGCTGACTGTATAATATAATACAATATAATATAATACAGTATAACAGTTGGCCCTGCGCATTTGCGGCTTTGACTTTTGCGGATTTGATTATTCACGGATTTGATTAGTATGATCTCTCTAGGCATCTCTCGGTCCTCCAATAAGTCTCTATGGTCAACATCGGCCAGTCGTCACACTGGAGGACCTAGAGATTCCTAGAGAGACCACTTCTCTAGGCATTTGTAGGCCCTCCAGCTCAAATTCTATGGCCAACGTCTAGCAGATGTTGACCATAGAGTTGTGCCGGAGGATGCCTAGTATAGTGTTTGTGTTGTTTGCAGTATTTCCACTTCCACGTGCTCCTAATCCCAGCGAATGCAGAGGCCCCACTGCAGTATGATAGGATCGCATCCAGCCCCAATGGTCACAGAATGGGGCTGCTTTTATATCAGGCAAGAATCCCTGACCAGTTTCCAATGGCAGCCCCACGTCTCGTGCCTTGCAGTAGTCTATCCCAGGGGTGTATGGGATGATTGGGGCCTGGATCATGGAGCTTAGTTCCTCCAAGGAACTCCAGATGAACCGTGAAAATGTGGTTATCCATCTTCCATTGACTGGGAAGGCATTTCTGTATGCCCAGTTACACCAGTAAGCAGATGAATCAATGGCGCTGTCAGTCCAGAAAGAGAAATTTAATTTTCTCTGGCGAAACGTCAGGAATAAAAACTCTTCTAAGAAGACAGCCACTTACCGTAGTCCGAAAAACCCACCCAAAAGCTATGGATACTGGCCATGAAAGTCTTTGACTTCACAGTCGATGGTTTGGAGAGTAAGGTTATTAGCCTTTGCACCATTTGTGAATCCTTGTATGATTAAAGAATATTGATGGTTTACATGGACTCATTAAAATTATAATCTATCAATAATCAATATATTATTGAAAGTATATATCAATACACTAATTAAAATTATAATTAGTTTATATGATATATACTTTCATTGATATACTGATTATTGATTGATTGGTTTGACTTATAGCTTATAGCTTATTGGTGTTTTTAATTTGTTGCCTCCTTTGTATTAATATGTATTATTTTATTATTTTGTAGAATGTAATGCCATTGACAGGCTTATCTTTATCTATTTTATTGTATGTACAATGCTGTGTAAATCTACAGTGCTATATAAATAAAGCATAATAATAATAA